TTTATACACTTTGCAGTTTCGTCATTTCTGAACTTTTTTTTTCTAATGTATTTGAACTATCATCACACAACAGGTCTAGGACCTTGAAAATATCTTGTTTCTGAAAACTGATGTTACTCCTTACTTGGATCTTCAATACATAGTATCTTGGATTCAAAGGCAATGGAGGGCCTGGAAAAATTAGTGTCTTTCTTGAAGAGGAATGGAGAGCTATTGCACATCCCCAAAACAACAGTTACAGTAATACAGTTGTCTTCCCTTGAAAACAGCCACAACTTAAGAAAGAAACAAGCAGAAGCTACTGAGTGCAGCAAGATATACAACAGTTATTGCATGACACTTCAGCATATTTATTATTTATAGCATAGGTGATGGAAAAGGCCATCTTTAGCAAAGTTTGAAAAATGCCTGAAAGCTCCACTTAAGATGTTCATGATAAAAAAAAAAAAAAAAAGAGGGGGAATATTCCTTTTCTTCTCATATACCTACTGATTTAAGAAATAGATTATATTTGTTAACTGCAGTCAAGTTTGTTATAAAGCCATCTGTGTATCTCTGATCAGCAGTAGGCTTACAGACATATTCTTATGGACACAAAAGTGTCCTGTGTAGATACAAGCTACTGCTTGTGGTTTTGTTGTTTTTCCTAATAGAAAACGCATCCCCAAACAACTTGAGTCTATTCTTCAGAAAATAATAAAAAAATACAAACACTACCATTTTAGGAAATAAGTTTCCAGGTTTTCCTTTTTACCTGAAAGTTGACAAAGTGCTGAAATACACATACACATCTTGCGGAAATCCTCAGTGAAAATTATTTACTTCATATGCTAAATTATTTTCTACTCACACTGGAATAAAGTTACACAATGTAACAGGAGTATAAAGTAGACTACACAGCGCTTCACCTCTGGCCACTTAATTGACGCTCAAACATGGCTGAAATACAAAGTTTCTAACAGGTCACAGAGCTTGACAGAGCAAAAAGATTACGAGAGTATTCTCTCTTACAATTCAAAATTGCCTCATAGTAGGCCACAAAAGGAAAGCAGCCATCAATCCATCCTTCCCATTTTAAAAAGCAAGGATTCACACAAGGATCAAAATAAAAAGAAACAAAGCCACGAGCACTGTGGCTCTATAAACAGTTGCTAAAAAACCACAGTAATCTTACAATATTTTTATTCACTCCTCCTTCAACCTTTCCTCGAGCAGTCGGTCATCATGAAAGTGTAACATAATAACCAGACAAAAAAAGAGCTTCCCACACTTCAGACCTTTTCCTACTCATCAGGGCAGAGTTGGTGTTATTACAAACTTTAACAGGAAAAGGCTGTTCTAGAGTCACTCCTGCAACTCACTGCTAAGGAATGCAAGTAGTGTGCTAATCCAGCTGCAGGCTTCAAACAGGAATCCTCCTTCTACTGGGCTGACAACACAGATCAGTGTCTTTGGACATGCCCACACAAAACCACTGTGCTCTTTGCTTTTCTATTTGAAGGGTTTATATGCAAGAAGACTTAAATATCCAGCAGGAACAGGAAAAATTAGCAGCAATTCCATAGCTACAACAACACAGTTCAAAAAATGAAAAAACCCCACAGCCATCAGACCAGTCAAACCACCAAACAAGTAAACTTGTCAAATTTACTTTTGACAAATAAGAACTGAAAATGTGACAAGTAGCCTGTCACGATCTTCCTCTTCCCAAGCACTGCAGTCCAGCAGACTACAAGAGACTCTGCCCCCCCAATTCCTCTGCTGTGTTTATCAGAATCCACCAACAATCCTGCTAAAGCTGTGGACACATGCCAGAGAAAGGAAAAATGACTCAGAATGTAACATACAAGAAAAGACTAATGATAATCCAGGATACAGAATAAAAATGAGAGTGGGAAAGTAATTATTTAACCAAAACACTCAACTGAGAAGACACAACAGCATGTCTGGATGCGGGAGAAGACAGCAAGATATAAAGGGGTTCACGGATCCATTTCCAGATCTGACACAGACCAACATGAAGCAAAGTTTTATTTTTAATTTATAGCATCTCAAATTCCTACTGAAATCAGAATCAGCCTGGTTTCCATTTCATAAACAGAAATTAAAGTGTTGCAAAAGGAATACACAGCAAATTTTATTATAAAAATGTTAATTTAGTCTTTCCTAACCATTTTCAGAATATCAAACAACGACAATGAACAGGTAACTCAAAAATTATTTAACAGATATTCATATATGCAATTAAGGCTTCCTTTTTATGTAGTTTATTTTCCATTCTGTAAAAAAGGCACACTACATCTACTGACACTTCTTTCAGAATGGACATACTGTTTTTCAATAACACTCCAATTTTGGCATTACAAACTGTGGAAAGGCAGAATTTACACTCTTGTTTTCATTGCAACTTTGCTGTGTGTCTGAATATGTTATACTTAAAAAAAAACCCCAAAATAGTTATGTTCTAAACAGTTGGCAATAATTACCATTGAATCAGCCAAATACAAACTCATAGTATAATGCAACTCTGAGAACAACGAAAAACCCTGCTATTGAAGCAGGAAAATGTAGAAAACAGGACAAGAAAGCAATCTATCAGCCTGAAAATGGTCTTCCATTCTGTCCAAGGTCCACACAAGAAAAAGGATTCTGAAAACTGAAGAGGGTTCAGCAGAAAGCTGAACAAATTGACCAAGGATTGGTTTATTCAAAAGAAAAATCAATATGCTCCACTGTATTCCATGGATTTGATGCCACAAATGACTATTGATGAGAGAAAAGACAACAAAATCCAGCCATACATAATTGAAGCTAAACAAATTCAGACTTCAAATAGGGGTTTTTTTATTTAATACTGTGACCATAGAGAGAACTCATGGAGCTGTGGATTTTGAACAGAAAACAAGGGGTTTTAATCAAGGTTGAATATTATGTTAAAAAAAGTCGCTGTCATAGAGTAAGGCTACGGTTTACCTCAGATTTCAGATGTGGTTATCACACAGAATGGGAGAGCTAAGCATTCTTCTTTTAATTTATATCAATTATGTCCCCCTTATATACTGACTGTTAAAGCTATAAGGAATCAAAAAAAAAAAAAAGGCTATTTCTATCATGGACTAGTTTTGCAAGGAATTGACTGGTTGCAGCTGTGAATGAGAGGCAAGAAGCAGAGAAAGTAAGAAAAGCCACAGGAAAGAGGAACTTGTAGAGAGAAAATGAGTGAGAACTCACTGGAAAGACAGATTTGAAAAGATGTTAAACAAAGGAAGACACCATCATGAAAGTTCTTCCTGCATTCAACAAAATGTATGTTCCTCATATGTCCACTAAGAAATACTATACTCAGTTTTTCCTCCTAAACAAGCAATGCAACAAGGCCATGCAGATTTAAAAGTTTCCCAGATGGTTAAATCTATTCTGCAAACATTTGATAATAAAGAGTCCCGGTCTCTTAAAAGAGGAAGGTCAGATAAGCTGATTGAAACAGACTCCACCTTAAAAGAAAATCTGACCCAAGAGAAGCAAAGATAGCTTGTTTTGCTTTTTAATTGTTCTAAGCATCTTTAGAGCCTATATTAGCACTGTATATGCACTGAACTCTTGGTGAGAGAAATTCAGGAATTATTACCTACTTTGCACAGCTCTAGGGAAGGTATTACAGCTTCAGATAGTCCATAGTTTGGCAGGGAGATTCAGGGAAAGTGTCCAGCAGAAACGTCCAGCTCATTGTAAAGTGAATTAGATTTTGAGTTTACAGTGCCTTTTACAAAAAAGCTTGATATTTTTATAGCATTCTGATGCATAAATCCTTTTAACAAACACAATCTTTTGATCTAAACGGGAATATGAATCTATACATTAATAATCAAGATTCCTAAATTTTTAGTTGTTGCCATTGCTCTACTTTTTTTAAAGGAGCTCCAAGGCACAATAACACCATTTCTGTCCACAAATATCCCCAATTTTCCAATATGTTGTGTTCCATTTCTCACTCCACAGAGGACTACTTCCATCAGGAGTCTTACAGAGCCCATGTAGCATCTTTTTCCTTTGCAGGACAGTTTATTAAAGTTGTAGCAGCAGTTATGTCTCTGAGCAATACTCCCAGAACTTAAGAATCAGGGAACAAGAAGTGGCTTGTGGCACATATCTTTGTCCACTAGATTTTATTTTTAGGTGTAGAAGAGCAAGTAAAAGCAACTTCAGTAAGAAATGTGGAGTCAGCTGGTGTGAAAGTGTTTTCACTCTTAACCCTCCAGAGATCTTTCCTGAGGACTGTTGTCCTCATGTGAACTACAGCTATGAAGGAAAATAGAAGCTGTAGAAAAGAGATCAGCTGAAGAAGGATTCTTATATTTTGAAAGATATAAGATATAATCCAAACAGCAATTGCAATACCGTTTCTGGAAATGGTTGAGGAGCAAAATTTATCTGTAATGCACCTTCCAATCCACAAAAGGGAGGAGTCCCACTGACACAACTGTAATTGCACATTTCTGGGAAAACATGTAACATAGCATCCATGAGATTGAGGATTATCAATTTTTTCTGCCTTTCCCAAGGCAGAAGAGTGGGGCGGGGTTGGCAAAAACTTAGTATTTTTTCCTTCACAATTAAATAGCAGTAAGTCTTCCAAAGTAAACTGATCTGCTGCAAATCGGCCATAAAATGCCACATATATTTCTAAGTGACATGGCTAAGGTTGCACCAACATTTTCTTTACAAATTGATATTTCAAGAAGGGCAAGTTTTAGTCTCTATCTGCCTTTTTTACATAAAGAATCCTTTCCTGATGAAATTAGATTTACCCTTGATTTCTCCCCACCCCAAGAAACATGCACAGATTACTAATGCAAATAGCCGATTTGAGAAAGATTTCACAAAATTTGTTTGGAAGCTTTACACCTACTAAACATATTATGAAAACAATGACACAGCAACAGTTAACACAATTTTGGAAGCAATTCTGAATGAGTCAATAAACTGTTGTTAATAAAGACTGTCTTTGATATGCTTTAATATAGAAATTATGTCCCACATAATACAGATTGAGTAAGCCCTATCTCAGAATATTGCAAAATAAGTATAACATTAACTAATAAGAACAATAAATTATGTCAGAGCAGGCTGGAGGGAGGGAGCATCTAGAGATAAGCCTTGAGATCTGTATGTCCTACTTCACTTCAAAATACACCTGAATCCTCTGAGTACTACATGTTCCTGCCAATAACTTGTACCAACTATCTGAACAATTTACAAGTTACTAAAAAAGATCCAAAAGAAACAAAAAGGCAAGTTAGTCCTTTAAAACTTCTGCTTCTACCTACCTCCAGGTTTAATAATGTTACTTTATAGAAAAGTACCTGATAATTTCACTTTAAAGTCACATGGACTAGAAGCATGCCAAAACCACACAAATCAAAACATCCACTACTCCCTCACCCCCCCCAAAAAATCCAACCCCAAAAAGGTTGGTGTTCTGAAGATTATATATACATAAATATCTCAAGAAGCCCCTTCCAACCTCCATGATTCTGTCTGTTTGGGTTCTAGAGATCACAAGATAAATGGAGATAGTTTAGATCCTGAGAGAACAAACTAGATGACAATAAAGAATACAGACTGTCACAAGAAAATGCAACAGGAACAAAAGCATCATGAAATAGTTACATTCTAAGCTCAGAACTATTTTGTCTACTGTACTTCTTAGTGTTTGCATGCCATTCAAAAACTGAGTCATAAAGTACCAAAGACTAGCTCCTCCTAGGAACAAGGGAACAGAGCAATGAGAACAAACAGCACTCTCTGGACAGAAGCTACTAGATCTTCTATTTGGACTATAAAGAAGAGCGCAAACAAAAACCTGTGTCATTCTCTACTATACTATACTGGAAGAATGGAAAGGAGATTCTTGTTTTCCTTAGCCAAAATCTCAAGTAATTTGTTTCACCAAACCTAAAGTGAAAGGAGTATTCTTTTCCTGGAAGGAAGGCCAAAAGCAGCCAGAAATGCACACAAGCCATCAACCATTAAAGCCATCACTGATGCTGGGAAGGTGGCACAAAGACAACTATAAGAACGTTCACATAAACTTATCTTTAAGTGTGTAGCCAGACAGGGGTTTTCAACTGGCATTTTATTAAATACTTTCAAGAAAAGGGAGACAAGGAACCTCCTGCCAGGCACATTCCTTCAAGAGTTCACAGCTGGTGACTCCTTGAGTAAGGACTTTTCAGCTCAACTACCCCTACAAATACAGAGCATTATGCTTCCAAAATCATGTTTATTCAGGTGAACTTAATGAGACTTAGGTTTCTCCTAAAGAAAAGAAACATTTATTCCACAAGCAGAACACCAGCTTTCTATTTAATGTCCTCTCAATTACGTGCTCCAAATCCCTATGGTCATTTCACTTACAGAAATAGCTCTGCCCAAGGAAAAGGCAAAGCAAGATCCACAGGGGCTTGGAATTCTGACTCCTATGATCTTCTGTTAGTAAATTATTAAACCCTGACTGTCACTTTTGTTGATGTTGTACCTAATTACAACATGAAACCAGTGAAATGTAGAGCAGTCTCTATTCTTTCCTAGCAACAAAGTCAGCAGTTAAATGGCACGTGGTATGCTTAACCCAGACCAGGTAACAAAACTCAAAGTTCCCTGAAAATAATTTGCATCACACTTCACACCACAAACTGCACTTGTTTTATAGTCTTTTGAATTAAAAACAGGAAAGAACATGAAATTTTCTGAACTGACGCTCTAGAACTGATTGTGGGCTTTTATTTCCAGTCCAGCATTTTTTACATTTTTAAAAGATTGAAAGGGGAAGCCATTAAAGAGATAGAAACAGTGCAATGTAATTTCCATCTCAAACTGTGTGACTCAGCAAGATACCACTGCTAGATTTAGGTTCTTGTTCTTTTTTTTGCCTCAGATTTCACACAAGAATGCAAAGTCAGAAAGGAGCGCAAAAGCGACCACAGACTCCTATTACAATAACACAGGCAGCTAAGAGTTCAAACATCCCAGAGGTTATATGTTTTAAAGAGCTCTAGAAGTAAGTGTAAATGTTCTTGGAGTAGTCTACAACAACTTCTCTAAGCACATCAGAAATCCACTTAGAAGAGAATTCATCCCATGACTCAATTACAATACAATCAACAGTTTTATTTTGGAGATCAGTCAACTGTGCCTCGGTGACAAAACACGAATCTAGAGCTATTCCAGTGCAAGTCTGGTTGCAGAAAGTTTTCACACATACAAAGCCATAATTATGTTAAGTCAGGGCATTTGTCCCCTCTACAGATGCCACATTAACAGTGTTTAAAAAAGCAGAAGATAAAAATAATGGTTCTCTATAAAAAAATAGTCATTTTTTTGCAACCTCAAAACTAAGTAATAAGAGATGGGAGAAGAACTTATTAGAAACTGAAGAGACAATTCAAACAAGGTTCAACTTTAAGACACCTCTTTGCAATTGCAGTTACCAAGTGAATTTCAAATTGTATTTGGAAATTTCAGTCACACATTGTTGCTACATTTTCTCTCTCGACACTGCTGTCTACCTGGTAGGAAGTGAGGTGATTCTTTCTTCATTCACACTAAAACTGCAAAAGATTTTTTCTGTTGAATCTGTACTCCAACGAGTAAATATAAACCACATTTATAAAATATTTACAGATTTATCTCACTTGGGACAGATTTCTTGATTATAATGTTTAGCGTTGAAAAAGGTGAAGCAAACAGGATACTAAACCAATTCTCTTTTATCTAAGGATAAGATTTGCAGAATTACAAGTCCTACAAAACAATGCTTTTTAATTTGAAGGAGCTCACTGGTGGCAAAACAAAAACATCCAAGGACTAACAGAGATGACGATGGGCTTTTAAAAGCAATTTTAAACTTCTGTCTTCTCTGGATTACAAGTATAGCTAAAATAATAAGCGAAGTATTTTGTCCTTTTTTCCTCAATATTATAATTATGGTGCACCTATACAAAACACTCAAGCCCAGCAGCCTCTGAGATTCCTGTCAATCTCAACTACACTAAGGTTTTTCAAATACGGAAAGGGCTTTTGGCTGGACACCAATATTACTTTTGAAACTAGTTTTGAACCTTTCTCAGTCTGGGGGCTCATAATATTTTGAAAATTGAGCTTATTGACAACAGGCTCTTTTTATTCATTAACTTTTGAAGACACTGAGGAAGTACCCCAGAGTTCCCGAGTTCACAAGCTGAAAGCCACTAAATCATGCACGTCTAGACCCCGAGGAAGCATCCAAATGACTGTAGGACCTCTGTAGCTGACATCCAGTTTTGTAGTCTCTGTAGACTCAGTCAAGATTTTTGCACCCTGAAAATTATCATCTTCATACATGACATCTGCAAGTCGGAAGTTGAAACACATTGGGAATGCAGCATGTGGGAAGTTTTAAGTATTCCCACCTATGGTGTAATTAGTGTACAAAAATGTGAAGTCCATTGTTCCCCAAAATTCTAAAATACATACTACCATAAGATCCAAGTTTCCTTCTCAATATTTTAAAAGCTTACAATAGTTTAGAATTACTTTTACCTGAATGTTTCTACTGTATTCAACATTAGTAATTTCATGTTAAGTCTCAAAATGGACTTTCCCAAAGGAAGAAAGAAAGTATAGCACTTATCAAAACTATGAAATAGCACTACAAGTTTTATAATCTCCTAAAGCATTAGGATGGTTGTGCCTTGTCTCCCTGAAAATCAATCAAACTCTAAAATAAAATGAACTTGAGCAATTTCAGTTGTAGCCACCTCAAATGGAAGATAGATTAACCAGGTTTCAGAGATGGCCTAAAGCCAAGATCTTTCCTCTTTATCTATCATCATGTATCCCACAGCACATTTACAAAACTGTATGCATTTATTTTGGCTTGTATCCTTCACCTCTATCCACTAGAAATAAAATACTTTTTATAGTTTTATCTGTATTTTACACATTGCCCAATAGTAAAGGTATTCCACCTCTGGGGGGGGGGTGGGAAATGGCAAAAAAAGGAAAAATGCTGCTAATCAGTTCTCATGTACAGTCTTTCTAAGCTTTCCAGTGTAGTATCTTCATTGCTATGAACAGTGACTTACTGCACACCACATTTACTTTTCCTCTAAAACACACTGTTTGAAAAACTGACAGTTATTTTACCAAACGAGTTCTAGTGACTAGATTAGTGATTTAGGGATCATTTTACTATCTCCATCTCAGAAAGAGAAGATCCTTCCTAAGAATACAGACTTTTGTCTTCCTGCAATTTACTACAATGCCGATGAACGTGGTAAGTTCAGAGCTGGACCCCTAAAATAACAAACCTTAACGATCTATTTTAAAACTGTACATTTTTATTTAAGTTCGTGTATTCTAGTTCTGTTACTTTAACCATGGAGACTAATAAAGTTAAAAAATTGATTGTTTGTTTAATAAACTGGGGTGGGAGAGAAGCAGCTGTCACATGAACTGCCATTATTGCTATGATATTTCTGTGGGGGACCCATAAAAGTACACAAAACAAATTTCTTAGCAGAAAGAAATTATACCAGTAGAACTGTTATGAGAAAAACAGCATTATTTCCTGTAGCTTCAACTCTTAACTTAAACATCTAATATCTATGCAAGAAAATTTACATGTATCTGGTCATCAGTTTTTCAAAAATTGTTTCCAGAACTGGTACACAACCCTCAGTCTTTAAAGTCTGCATAAAGAAGTAATCTTCTACTGTTTCATAGCATATTTGGTGCACCCAAGCGGTTACAGGACCTTTTCTCTTTTGCTGCTTTTCACTCTCAGCTAAAATTACAAAATCTAATAATATATGTATTAAATAAATACTATTTCTCTTCTACACCGTGTTCCTTATAACTACTAGAAGTGTAGGTGTCTCTCTTTACTTGCTTCACTTCTCCCTATCCAAACATCTGAGGCACAAGATATAGGTTTTCCTGTGTTTTTTACAATCACACTGATTCTGTCAAAATCCGTTTTCGCTGCCTGCCTGTATCCTCACATTTCATTTCAAATAATTTCGGTTTTGAGCTAGTCAAGTGCCACAGGCACAAACTCTCCAAAACCTCCACAGTTCACAGCTGCTTTTCCTATTACATCAGCTAAATTCCTTTCAGTTATTTCTCCTTTTTCCCTTGCAAAGGCACACGGATTATGTCATCACATAGCCCAAGAGTTTCACGAGGGACAGAACGGCTCAATAACATCGCGAAAACGCTTCACAGCGGCGCCTAGAAACGAAGAGTGGACCGAGACCCCACAAAACCGGTTTAATGTACAATTATTTAGATGATGCACAACAGACAGTGCTGAAGAGTGAAGCACATAAAACACAACAACACATAAATCAGCAGGACGGCGGCCGCCCGAAGCGGGACACGAGTGTTACGGGGGCAGCGCCGACCCGCGTGGCCGTCGCCGTGCGGCTCCGCCCGCCCGGGCCCCGCTGCGGCCACTCATCCCGGCACCGGGCGCTGCCGCTGGGGGCTGCCATGCGAGGCAGCCCCGGCCCAGGTCGTTTTGCCGCCTCCCCAGGCCCCCTCACCTGTGGCCGGCGGGACCCCCAGGCCGCGCCGCTCCCTCCATCGCGGCCCCGCCGTTGCTATGGGCCCCCGCCCGCCGCTGCCCTTAACAACGGCGCGCGGCACTGAGGCGCGCCGCCATTGGCCCGGACCGCGAGGACGCCGCCCGCCCATTGGCCGCGGAGCCACGCACGCGCAGAGGAGCGATGGTCGCCTCCCCTATCGCCGTCTCCGCTGCAGTCGCGGGAGGAGCCCCGGCGCGGAGCCACTGGAATCACAGGGCTCCCCCGGGGACACTCCCCACGACAGAGACACTTTTCCCCAAGGAAGCCCGGCCCAACAGACCCCCGTCGCCAAGGCGCTCCCGCCCCGCCCATGTCCTCAGTCCCGGCAGTGCCGTCGTCCGTTCGGGCGTGTCCTCGCACGTAGCTGAGGTGCCGCTCCCGCCGGGTCAGGCGCTGGCCTGTCTCTTCGAGAGCTCGAAGTTTGCCTTCACCAGGATGTCGGCAGCGCTCAGCTTCCCTCGCTCCCGCAGGTACTTCATGACGTGAGGTCGCCGTCTCCAAGTGACCTTTACTCCATACTCATGTTCGGGAGTATCTGTAACCAGCACTGCTGCCGACTTCCCTCTCCCACAGGGATCAATACCAAATGCCAGCTCTTTTTCTGGATGCCAGGTATCACTACTTTGTGACAGAGTGTTGCTGCATCTCCAGTTCCTTAGGGAAGGCACCTGAGGAGCCTCTGCATCTGGTAGACTAAAAGCTTCTTGCTCCACAGGCTGGAGAGCAGGTTCTGTACAGTCCTCTGGATCCTGCACTTGGATATTGGCATTTGCTGCTGTCCCTTTCTTGAGCTGGCTGTGAGAACACTGTGTGTCCTTCCTCGAGTGCTTTGGATGATCCAAGGGGTGGCCTGCATGTCCTTCTGGATTCTCAAAAGTTAAAGGAGGAAATTTGCAGGCTGCAGCTCTTCGACAAGGTCCTCCTGCATGAAGTAAACTGTGGTTGGCATCCTGATTCTGAGGCCTGTGAGGACCACGGTGCTTCTTCTGGCACGCTTTCAACACCACTGGCTTAGTTGTTTCAAATTGTGGGCACACCTGAAAAAAAAGACATAATAATCAGATAAAAACCCAGCCATTTTCTCCAGACAAGTAATGCCAACCTGATTCTGCTTCGCCACCTGTCCCATCTTTTTTCAGTGTGTTCACTGAGTAAGCTGGTCTGCTGCAAAGGGAGTCACTAACAAAGCTGCTATGGAGCAGATGCCTCATGAACATCACATTCTGCCACTCTCCTCAGAAAACTCATTGGGGTGCAACTGAGCTATTCTCTGGCAACTTAGAAAGAACTCAAGATTTGGGTTTAAAGGAAATCTAACTGTTGGCTACTCCTGTAACCCCTGCACATTTAAAACAGTTCAGAAATGGATCCTTTTTCTTTCTTTGTCTTAGCATAACTCCAAATAGATTCAGTGAACTAAATACTCAGTCTCCCTGAACAGGTAGAGGTTGAATTGAGAGAGTGATTAAAGGATGCCCACTTAGCTGAGTGGCCTTAGATTACGTTAATACAGTATTCACAATTTTCCCCCAAAACATCCAGATCGCCCAAAATCCACTTCTAAAATCAGCTTTCTATAAGAGGTGGTCCAAGCTCAACAATCTACGTTTCTTTGAAAGATTCTGGACTCTTACTCAAACCCTGGAAATCCTTTTTTTGCTGTGTTCTTTATCTTCCTGGTTATCAACAAAAAAGAGTCAGATTCTGTTTCAAATTGCAATTTGTTTTCCTCCAAGGGACACCAAACTGGGTTCTCGCTATGGTAACTACAATCTCCTTCAGCATTCCAAAGTTACAACATAGTTCCTCAAAAAACTAAGTACAGTTGAATTAAGGATAGCAATTGTCTGCTGTACAACTGAACTGCTTGAATGCAAAGCCTGTGTGCAGGAAAAGGAAAGTGATTCCATGATAATTGTATCCTAGCACATACTCAACACAGGTCAATCACTGACTTTGAGGACATGACCTCCTGGCTTCAGAGAGCATGTATGGTAGGAGCCTAGCAGTCGAGAAGGTATGAAAAACTTAGATAACATCAAGAAGAGAGGAGCAGAAAATCAGTTCTCACTCAAACAGGTTGACACACACTCTGCAGAGGATGCCTCCAGAAGTTACAAACCTACCACATTTTCAAACTGAAAAATATCTAACATTTTAAGCACTTCAGACAAATTTTAAAATCATTGTATGTTTAGAATCAAAGAGCTACCAATGTGGATATTTCCAACTCTTCCAAACAAAAAGAATGCTTATTCACAGCAGTTATTTTACTTAGTATTTCAGAAGCCACAAAGCTAACTGCCTCAAGCACATACAAAAAAAAAGTTAAAGGGAAAAGATGGAACGTGTTCTACTTCAAGATTAAGGCATCACAAAAATAACTTCAGGTCACCAGGAACAAAGGAATGTCTCATGCAGGTTTGAAACCACACTTCCTGAGCTTCCTTTGTGAAGAGCAGAGTTGAGCAGTAAAAATGCTTAAATGGTGCTGAAATGCTTAAAAGAGCTCCCCTAGGTGATGACTGCTGTTGTATAGGAACAGTCTGTCATTGCAGCACCTGTTTGTTTAAAAAAACCCTATCCTTACATGATAGAAGGAACATCTTAGGAAAATACAAGCAGTCCCAGAACAGGAGTCCATCAGACCAGAAAAGGGGCCCGTAAGAAGATTGATATAGAGAGAAACTATTCAAAAGACAGAATAGAAAAGAGGACAGGTTAGAACAATCCTGAAGTGAAAACCTATGTTCTCTAAGTTTAGCAGTGTCAAATTTAAGCAAAGCAACTAGTACTTTAACGTGTAACATTTAGAGTTCAGCAGTTATTTTGAGCAGTAAGCCAATAAAATTCCCCTTCATATTTATAATGTGCAGGGTTTTCAGTTGCCATAGAAAACAGCATCTTCCTGATAAGAATTATTTTCCCAGAAATAGTCATATTAACCAGTACAGACTGCACACAGTTTTACACCTTCAAATAACCAAGACCTTAGTGGTTGCTGTTAGACTGTGAAGCAACTCATAAGCACTTATTTATGTTTTAGGCTGCTACAATGAATTCAAGTCCAAGCTACTAATTTTCAGTAACCAGAACAGATAAATTTCTGTTGAGACATATGGGAAAAACTTGAAAATCATGGCTGTGGGACACAGGGAGAAAGATAATCTATACCAACCCAGGCAGCAGAGGTGCTCCGGTCTACAGGTTTTGTAGGCACACGTCTGGGATTCTGGGCCAAAGGCAGCGGAGTTTCATAGCAATGGATGGGTCCTGCCCGCGGCTTCTCAAGGAATACCAGCTCTGCCTTCTTGGCCCTGTGGGTACATTTCTTCTTTGGAGGCATCAAGAGGTATGGTAAAACCACTTAGAAACCTCATGATGCTTGTTAGAGCCAGTTGGAGAAAGAGGGAAGCACCCCAAGGAGATGCTGAAGTGCTCTCGATTCTGTAGAAGGCAAATAAATGTATTTGAAGATAGACTTGTTTGGAAACCTCAGATCTAGTTTTTAACAAAAGCAAAACATTTATGAGCATACAGGTCTCTAGGCAGACTTCTTCCTACCAGTAGTTTTTGAACCTTCTGTTGATTTCCAGGTAGATTTAGAAATGCACAGCAGGAATTGGAGCAGTTGACCTACTGATCCAGCTCTATCAAATCAGCTATCAAAAAAAAAAAGTCAGAAAAACTTGCTTTCTCTTTTCAATTTAATTTGGTTTGTAATGCCAAGAATATACTGTAGGGCCAAGGTAACCAGCAGTCTTTACATTTCTAATTGCTAACTACCTTTTTAATTAAATACCTTTTAATTTCAGGAATTTTAAAGTTTTTTAGTTTGTTTCTGTTACAGGACAGAGTTCACATTTCCCTCCTGTATTCTACAGATCTTGCATTATTTTTTTTTTTACCTAATGAATAAATTTGAATTGAAGTAACATTGAATTTAATTTTCCATTGAAAAACAGATCACAGAATCAACTAGGTTGGAAAAGACCTCTGAGATCATCAAGTCCAGCCTGTGACCAAACACCACCATGTCAACTAGACCATGGCACTAAGTGCCACATCCAGTCTTTCCTTAAACACCTCCAGGGATGGCGACTGGAGCAGCCCATTCTGGAGCCCATTCTATTGTCTAATCATCCTTTCTGTGAATAAATTCTTCCTAATGTCCAACCGAAACCTCCCAAGGCACAGCTTAAGGCTATGTCCTCTTGTCCTGCCACTTGTTACCGAGGAGGAGGCCAACCCCTGCCTGGCTACAACCTCCTGTCAGGTAGTTGTAGAGTGCAAGAAGGTACCCCCTGAGCCTCCTTTTCTCCAGGCTTAACACCCCCAGCTACCTCAGCTCTTCTTCATAGAACTTACTCTCTAGACCCTTCACCAGCTCCATTGCCCTTCTCTGGACATGCTCCAGCACCTCAGTGTCATTCTTGAATTGAGGGGCCCAGAACTGGACACAGCACTCAAGGTGTGGCCTCACCAGTGCCAAATACAGGGGGACGATCACTGCCCTGGTCCTGCTGGCCACACTGTTCCTGATACAGGCCAGAATGCCAATGACCTTCTTGACCACCTGGGCACACTGCTGGCTCATGTTCAGCCAGCCTGAATCACCACGGGCGAGCTCAGAAGAGGAACTCCAAAAAGAACATTTTAGGAGAGGGGTATACGAATGCAACATCCTGACTGCTTACCAGAGGCGCAGCCTCCTCGGGGCGTCCTGCGGGTCCCCGCAACCCAGTATAGCCGTGACACACGTTAAACGGCGAAACTCCGCGGCTCTTCACCAGGGGCCAACGCACGGCCGGCGACCCGGGCACAGAGCAGGGCTTCCAGGCGGCGCGGCTGGAGGGAGCTCCGGGGACTGCCTCAGGCGAGACGGGACGGGACGGGCGCTGGGACCCCGGTACCGACCCCAGCCCGACCGCTCCGGCCCGGCGCGTCCCGCCGGCCCAGCCGTATCCCCCGCCGCCACTGTCCATTGGCCCGCGCTGCCACTGCCCCGCCCCCGCCCATTGGCTCACGCCGGGCCACCCCGCCCCCGCCGCCGCTCACTGGCCCAGGCCGGCACGTGACCAGGCCGGGGCCCCGCCGGGCGCCAAATTCAAACCGGGGCCGCCCCGGGAGTGCCGGAGCCGCCGCCACTTCCATCGGCCCTGCCCGCCCTGGAGCTGGTGAGTCTCCACCTGCGCCTGCCCCACCTCCAGTATCCCCCTGCAAGGACTGGCAACCCCGGGCGGCCGCGCTAAGACCGTAAGGCGCCCGGGAGAGGGAAGCGCTTAGGCTCGGCCTGGGGCGGAGGGACCCCGGCGGGGCAGGCGGACTTAACGGCGGGCGCGGCGGCGCTGGGGCTGGAGCGGGCGGAGGAGGAGCAGAGAGCCCTTTAGCGCTGCCCCTCTTACCAACCCTGAGGCCTCGTGTGCACAGGGATGCTCCTGGGCCTTTACTGGTGGCAGCAGCTCCAGGCCTGTTTGGGAAGTGGTGCGCTCCTGTAGGGAACGCAGCCTGTTGGAGGCTGGCTAAAGGCTCCTCTTTGGGCGCTGTCTAACCGGGATGTCTCTTTAAGGGGGTGGAGCTGATCGCAAAGGGCCGTACGTGTGCGTGTGTGCCACGACCCGCATGGAGTGCGGAGCGTTCCCGTCGCTGCCGGGTAGCCCGCGATCCCGGGGCTGTCTGATCCCTGCGCGTAGGGCAGCTCGGTTTGTTTTCCGCAGGACTCTCTGCTTTGTATCAATGTAGGTGACTCTTACTGAGAATTTTCTCGTTTACCTGCTGGCCCAGTCCAATCTAGCAATGTAAAAGGCCTCCTTTTTTACATTAGGGATGCCTGGCATCCCTAATGATAAACAAAAAGTAAAATTTGTGTGTTCTCGTTCTGTTATAGTTTGCTGTAAGACACAGGTTCCACCAAATTCTTGATGGCATTATAAGCAGTATTCTCACTGCATCTTGTCCTGGAAGCAGTATCTATGAATTTTATTTCCTCTGCTTCCTGCTTTATAGTCTAAATTGCCTGTTGTCAAAAAGTTTGACATTTAAATGTATGCTGCCCAATGAGGAATTTATCTGGTTCTTGACAAATCTACAGAAAAAATGACTAGAACATTTACTTTACATCTGTTTTAAAGCGCTTAACTTCTGCTGCTTTTGTAGTGTTTGAGATAATCTCTTTTTCCCAGATCTTAAACCATCTGTAAATTCCCTTTTCACTCAGGTTGTGTAATCTTCTATTAGAATCAGGACTGCTACTTCTATGTTCTACTTTCTATCCATTCCTGCTTGCTGGCTGATGCTGGCCAAGTCACATTATAGCAAAGACTTCCTATAAAGTACAAATACACACTTTCCTCATTATTATGTACTTTGTGATGCAAATTATCTACTGTGCAAATGTCTCTCCTGTCCTGCTTACACAAGGTGCAAGTAAAGGAGGTACAGTATGACTTTTCAGTAGCCTTGCCAACCTCATTAAACACTTTTGATTTTATTTTCCTTTTGTGTTTTTGGCTTTGTAGCAATTGCTGGGAATGTGTGCTCTGTGGGAGACCTGTGATGATTTGCTGCACTCTTTATGTTGTATCTTTTGTTTTACAGGATTTGTTCCTCTCCCTTTCAATGGAGAGTGACAGTATAGATCAATAATGAGGACCAGCCCTCGCAGGCCCTTAATTCTCAAAAGACGGAAACTGACCCTCCCACAGACGGATGAATCCAGCACTTCAGCAAGAGATGAGAACAGAGGTCAGGATGAAAAGACTCCCAAGCAGGAGCACAGCCAGGAGGACCAACACAACAGACAACCCAGAGACAAAAGGGACTGTGGCCTGCAGAAATTCCCAGCGGGAATAAAGATAATTGACCATCCTACAATGCCCAACACACAAGTGGTGGCCATCCCTACAAATGCTGATATCCAGAGCATCATAGAGGCACTGACGGCAAAAGGGAAAGAATGTGGCAACAATGGACCCAACAAGTTCATCCTCATTAGCAGTGGGGGCACGTCCCGTTCAGCAGGTCCAGCACCATCACAGCATCTGCCATCAGAGAAGAAAGCCAGTGCAGCAGTCAAGGCTGCAGATGGTGCAGAAAGAGAGAAGAATGTTACACAGACACCTGGTCTTGCAGGCGGGACAGCGCTCTGGCATTCAGGAGTTGATTCTGCGGGTGGACAGGAACAGGAGAGCAACAGTATGTAGTCTTTACCAGGTTTCTTTTGGTTGGTTGGTTGGTTGGTTGGTTGGTTTTCTGTCCTGACAGACAAAGAGATGTGAAGTGGGCCAATGAGTGTAGTGCTTGAATCTCGGTACGGAGTAACAAATAATATTTAGTTAATTACAAAATAGCCTATAGATTTGATTCTAATAATCTACATAGCTTTGGATATCTAGTGAAATCTGAAGGATCACAGTGCATTTGTTTTTAGTGGAAGACATCTGAGCTTCTGACTTGGATCTTGTGCTGTGTCTTTTGGTTAGAGTCTGTCATCACCACCCTTGGCTTCTGCTTACTAAATTCATCCTTTAGCTAACGATATTCTTGAAGCACTAGATCAACATTGTCCTGTTTTGGTTGAAAGCAGTAGTCTGGTTCGAGTGTTCATTTTTAAGGCTGCAGCTCTTTTCAGAAATAGGAAACTTCACATGAAATCAGGAATTCAAGAGTAATTCCTTCCACGACATTAGCATTGCAATACCATCTTTTACTGTGTGACTAAATGCCTTCCTTTTGACAGTTGAGATGAAGGGTTAAAAGGGTTACTTGTAAGTAAGCAGAACTATGATAAGGGGTTCTGCACTTCGGTCACAATCCCATGCAGTGCTACAGGCTGGGCAAAGAGTGGCTGGAAAACTGCCCAGCAAGAAAAGGACCTGGGGGTGCTGGTCAACAGTGGCTGAACATGAGCCAGCAGTGTGCCCAGGTGGTCAAGAAGGTCATTGGCATCCTGGCCTGTATCAGGAACAGTGTGGCCAGCAGGACCAGGGCAGTGATCGTCCCCCTGTACTTGGCACTGGTGAGGCCACACCTTGAGTGCTGTGTCCAGTTCTGGGCCCCTCACTACAAGGAAGATACTGAGGTGCTGGAGTGTGTCCAGAGAGGGGACATAAATCTGGTGAAGGGTCTAGAGAGTAAGTCCTATGAGGAGCGGCTGAGGGAACTGGGTTTGTTCAGCCTGGAGAAGAGGAGGCTCAAGGGAGATCTTATTGCTCCCTACAACTACCTGAAAGAGGTTGTAGCCAGGTGGGAGTTGGCCTCTTCTCTCAGGCAACTAGTGACAGGATGAGAGACCATAGTCTTAATCTGTGCCAGGGGAGGTTCAGTTTGGACATCATCAAGAATTACTTCCCTAAAAGGGTTGTCAAGCATTGGAACAAGCTCCCCAGGGAGATGGTAGAGTCACCATCCCTGAAGGTGTTCAAGAAACAACTGATCGCAACACTTAGTGCCATAGCCTGGTTGCCAAGGTGGTGTTTGGTCAAAGAAAGGACTCAGTGATCTTGGAGGTCTTTTTTTAACATAAATGATTCTGTGATTCTGTAATATGGGCTTGCTATCCCAACAGGCAGTGGTGAGACAATGAGCTCTGTGTTGGACAATAGTCTCACTAACATCCAGTGGCTGGGGAAGATGAGATCTGATGGGCTAAATCCCTCTTCTGTGAAGCAAGACACAGAGAAGGAGAACCAAATGCCTCTGCAGGAAAGAATCAAGGTAAGTAGGAGAAGACAACAGCATGTGCTAAAATTTTTGGTAAGGAAGTAATCTATGTGGATCAGAAGACTTCCAAGAACTAGGCATCGCTGTCTCTAAGTAACCTGGGTTTGGCCTTTACTGATTTGAATAGAACATGGAGGATCCAGGGATCATTCATGTATCGCTCCTTCTGTCTCTCAGACTGAAGAAGAAGCTGCTGCTGCTATTCCTACTGCTGCTGCATCCTCATCATGGCAGGATTCAGTGTCAGAACGACCTCCTTACTCCTACATGGCCATGATCCAGTTTGCCATCAACAGCACTGAGAAGAAGCGTATGACTCTGAAGGACATCTATACCTGGATTGAGGATCATTTCCCTTATTTTAAACATGTAGCTAAGCCAGGTTGGAAGGTAACAAGCAGGCCTTCAGGTTGCTGTGGGCCACAGGGTGATGTTATAAGCCTTCTGGATCAAAATGAAAAGTTTTTCCCCAGCCTGCAGAGCAAGATGGAAATTCATTTAAACATCCCACCCCAAATACCCTCCCATTCCAGATGTTCACTCTCCCACTTCTTGTATCCCTTGTCTCATTCCTCTTGAGCAAGATGATGGTATATTTGATCATTGGACTAAGAATAAGGAATTCAAGAGTAAATAGAATAAGAGACTGATGACAGGGTTGGCTGGGTATGCTGTGAATATGAAAGTTCAGTGTTGTCTACCCTTTGGAATCTAATTCCTCTGCTAGGCAGTCATGTTTGAGGTAGCCCTTGCTGTGCTGATAACAAAACTACTGCTTTTCAACTCCCCTCACTGCTTTCTCCCCAGAACTCCATTCGGCACAACCTGTCCCTTCATGATATGTTTGTCCGTGAGACATCTGCTAATGGTAAAATCTCGTTCTGGACTATTCACCCTGATGCAAACCGTTGCCTAACATTGGACCAGGTATTTAAGGTGAGTTGCCTCATGCAAAGAAAATAGGACAGGTTATCCAGTTTCTAGGCAGATGCACCTTATTTTAACTGTAAAGTTAAGCTGCTTTGACATCAGCCTTTTTGTAGAAGCTGTATTCAGTCACTTCTCTTGACAAATAGACAAGCTCTGCATTTGAAAGAAAAGGTGCTGTGGTTGTGCTTTTGACCTGGAGCTTTTGTGGAACGTGTTCATTCTTCAGATGCTG